GGCGGGCGGGCCTGGCCTCGCCACGGAATTAAAGGGGCGTGCAGGGTGAAGAAGGGCACAGGGAATTAAGGAACGGCACGGAGAGGTGAGAGCTGCACAGTGAGCTACTTGAAAAGGAGCAGGAATACCTGGATACTCTTCCTGCAGTGCCCAAGGGAAGAAGCTACGCTGGGAAGCACCAGAAGACCACGGTAACTTCAGAGTGAACTGAGAACAGCAGGAGCAATGCACATAAAGACATTGCTATAAAACAAGTCAGGGAGTTGTGTTTAGAGAATAACTGACTTCACTCATTACAAAAATCATTAAAAATTACTGCCATAGATCACAGAGCCAGAGATCAGAGCAGGAGTTCTTGCAAGGAACTGTTAAGTCACCATATTAATCACAGTTAACCCTATCTGAGTGCACAATTTAACCAAAGTGCATCCAGCTATTTGGCTTTTGGAATGGACTCCAGTAATAAAAAAAGCTTGAATCTCCTCATTCTTTCAGGCACTCAATACACTTGTGTTCACATTTTCACAGCTTTCTGTGGAGCTGGAAATAAAAGTACCCTACTTCACATAGCACAAGTACCCCAATTTCACAGCTGTATTTTTTAAATATAAAATTACTTTTGAAATTATTAGGATGTCAATAAGGAGGGCCATTCTTCTGAGACAACAGAGTGGAAACTAGGTGGGGACAAAAACTGCTCTCACTTGGCAGCAAGAATCGGCTACTCATTTCAATGATCCAGATTAGAAGACTTATAAGTATCAACTCTCTCATCCAGAGTCCTCTTGCTCTTCATCACATTATTAGTTTTGAAGTTTCTACATTCTTCAAAAGCACACTTGATTCAATGTTGGAACAACTCTACCTACCCTTAGCTGCTTCACAGCTTCTAAAAAGGCTTAGAATCCACTGTCTGTATAACAAACGTTTATTCAGAAACAGATAATACATTATTTTCTCCAACCCTTAGTTTCCTTACCCTCCCCCCTCAGTTTTAGTTTTAATAAAACACAGGTGTTTGATGGGCAATCTAAAAAAAAACCAAAAGGAGAATAGCTGTCTCAGGTCCCTTCTCCTACAAACATTTGCTGTTCACACAAAGCACCCTACCGATAATGGTATAGTTGGCTTCCAAACCAAAGAAAGTACTCCAGAAAAACAAGTCCTGCCAAGTCCGTGGTTACTTCCATGGCCAAAAGGGATACAGTGAGATAGAGGAATGGTTTGCACGAGCTAGACTGAGCAAAGAGTTAATACAGAACAAGAAAGCAAAAGAAACGTGGGGGTTGACAAAGAAATGGAATCTGGACCTACAAGAGCTACAGAGCTCATTAAAGTTCAGTGGAGCTGAACAGGATGGATTAGGTTAGTCTCCTAGCTAGAAGGATCAAGTTCAAACCCCAACCAGATTCTGGAAGTGACTATTTGCTTTCTTCTCTTATAACACAATTTGAACAAATACAAACGAATGGAGCTACTGGGACTTCAAATACCCATGGCAACAACGCTGTACTAACAAAGGACGTATTTCAATTGCCACCTAGTGGCCTCTGGCTTCCTCGTGGATGCTCACTGGCCCAAAGTACAGCCTTACTGCTCTACATGGGACTTAACACCCCCCTCCTATGTGTTCCTTACACAGGGCTAACTGCTCTGCCTCCAAACCTCTCCCTGAAGCCACAGGTGCAGCATCATTCCTCAAATCCACGCACGGGAGCAGCACACCTGCACAGAGGTCAAACACTGCCCAAGTGACATCCCTTGAAGAAGTGAGTTCTCAGGCACAAGAAAAGACTGCTTCCCATGTATTAGTATCTGAAAAAGGCCCCAGCTCTTCTCTAAGAGACTAAAAAGTAAGAAAAAAAAATTAACACCCCTGCATCACTAGGAGGATGCAGTAGCCTACCAGGAGTGAAGCACTTGGATTTCTCTAGCTCTGAACACAAGACTGGTTCTTATTTTTCACTCCAGAAAGAAGAGAGCAACTGGGCCAGACCCCACGAGGTAAATACATTCCTTGTCCAGATGCCAGAGCCTTTTCTTCCCCTCACCTCTCTCCATTACCAGAGTTGAAGCTTCCCTCCCACAGCACAACAGAACATGTTCCTATGCTCTTGCTGCCCTCGTTGGCTTGTACACACAGTGGGAAGCTCAAGTTTTTCACACTTCTTCTCAATGTAACAGCTGCTGAGCAGAAAAATATCCAACAGCCAGAATGAAGCATTATGCTACTGAATGCATACAAGGCAAAGATGCAAGATGGTCCTTCCTGTATGGAGCCACACCTGACTTTGTACCCCATGCAGCAATTGCAGAAACCGTGTGGTGTTCTTGCCTGTTGATAATCAAGGGGATGCACTTCTCAGTTAAAGGTCAGTCAGAAGAAAAGCGAAGGAGATCACCACTCCTTCCCTCCAAGTCTATGTGCACTTTAATGGCCACTAGGGGCTTTGGAGTAAAGGAGGGAGTTACATGGTATATGCTTGGTAATACATTACTGGCAGAACGGGGAGATTATTCTTTTGGAAAAAATACCGTGGAAGAAAACTCCAACTATGAAAACAGAAAGTACACACACAAGAGGAAACACTACTGTACAATAAGGTAGAGATCATAGAAAACAAATTTCAAGGCAGGCAAATGTAAATAACATCTGCACTCCTGCACTTTTCTTATTCCCCAACTTAAATTTTCCAGTCCACTGCTTACTCCCCCTTCTCAGAGTTTAATCTTGAATTCTGTGGGCTGCACAGAGGCAGAGACCCCTGAGGATTTGAAGAGTGCCTTCAAGATAGTGTCAGGGTCCACCTCAGCTGGGGGATTTGAGGAGGCACTTGCACTTGACCGGCGTGGTTCTCCTTCCTTCTTCACTGAAGGGGTATCACTCAATCGGCTGGAGGATTAAAAGAAAAAAACCAAACCAGTATTAACCTCTCATTATGGAATAAAATGTAACACTACATCTTCATTTACTGTTGTTGGTGTTACCCCCCTTCCCCATATTAGAGATTAAGGTTTTAAGCATGCTTTCCTCACAAGAAAATTTCCTTGTCTCAGACTTGTTTTGAACCTCAGGGCTGGGAATGCTACTGAGTCAAGATACACTGCACTCAGCTCGAGACAGAGCACCACAGAGAGGAAGAGAAGGAGAATATTCATGGAACAACAATTTGTCAACAGTTTTCTTCCCCTCAAGTTATCCTCAAAGCAGACCCTGCAAAAAGGTTGTTTGGTTCTTCTCCCCACCCAAAGAACACTTACAGCAGTATAGGCTGGTCTGAAGTGATGACATTCCCATTCATATGAAGATTGCATTTCATTGGTTGACCTAAACAAAAACACAAGTAAAACGTCCTTCTACCACAATCATCATAAGGCAAGACCCCAGAATTATCACACATCATTGCAAGTAAGAGTTCCACATGCTTGGGAAACTAATACATCTTTTGTTGCAATATCACTGCAGCAAAGAGTCACTGAAACACTCAGTACAATATGAAGAATCACACTCATAAAGAAACTACATAGGTACAAAACCCTTAGAGACACAAAGAGAATCTCCCATTCTCAGCTGTCTGCTCCTCATCTCACATTTGTATTGTCACTCATCTGCAGAAAGAAAAAGCATCTATTTCCACCTAAAAATTAACGGCTAATTTCATCCTTTGACAACACTGCAGGTGGATCCAGATTAACAACTGCATTATTCAAAGTTTACAGAGAAGCTGATACTAATTGTTTCACAGGTTCCATTCAAATTGTCTCTGATAATGCCTTGAGAACTTTGCAAATAATAATTTTACTTGCACTTTCCAAACAGCTGTTCTGTAAGCAGGTAAAGCCTGCCTAAGGACTATCTAGCTCTCAGCACTGCATTAGAAACAAAAGAAATTTAGTCTGAAGTTAGACCAGCAGAATCACCAGGAACCTGCCTCTAGCTTTGAGCATTCTGTATCTAGGGAAACATTTTATTGAACTTCACTTAAATAAACTGTGCATATATTCAGCTAGTTACACAGCAGCATATTACATTGTCTAGCTCTTGAACTGAGTTTCTGCAATTTCCTCTCTCTCAGTAGCATATAAGCATCTGAGATGCTTTTAAACTCTCTGCTAAGGGGGAAATGTCTTTGTTGATTTATCTACCCCAAATGCTACTCTGGCCTCAAACTTACCATCTAAGCACCTGTTGTTGTATTTCTTATATGCTGTGATAGCATCTTCTTTCTTCACAAATACTACCTCAGCCACTCCAGGGTGAACCAGCCGGGCTCGCTTCAGAGCGCCACACACACAGAACAGCTCCTGAGGACAGAGAGTCAGTCATGACCATGGTCACAAAGGTCCCACTTCAAGTAAAGACACTGAGTGAGAAAGGCTGTTTCCTAACTGCACCACCCCTCCTGCTTAGTAGAGAGAATCCTACCATTTGCCTTACGGTGTTTGCTATGGTACGAGCATTTGGCAGTAGTAATACAGGTTGCCCAAAGCTCCATGCTGCTACCCAGTGCAATAAAAAAAGTTCAAGGCCAGTGCTCTATACCAGTTGTCAAGACATGAAGATCAGGTTCATTCTCAGCCTGCTGAGAATGAAAGTTTCTAGATAATTTGGATGGGGGCATAAATTTAAAGATAACGTCAAGCATCATTTGGCACTAACTATTCTAAATGATGCCAGGTACCTCAGTTCACTCTAGAGATGGGATTTTGTCCTATCTTCTTAAGCACACTCTTTTAAAAATAAGTGAACAAAAAACAAAACAACAAAAAATTAGGAACTCAAAGTTTTTGCACGGAAAGCAGCCCCACATCTTAGATTAAGTGAATTATCAAAATAAGTAGAATAAAGGAAGGAAGCTTCACACATCCATAGTTTGGCAGTAAGCAACACTCACAACAATGTCTTCTTCTGTGACTCGGGGGTGCAGGTTGTTGACGGTCATCTTTGTGCCTTCCAAAGGGCTGAACGCCAGCTGCCAACACAAAAAATGCATCACATAAAAAAGGTCAGAAGTGCAACACACAAGAGGCACAGCAGAGAAAGCATTATAAAAAAATCAATATAAGGGATATCTGGGCAAGTTTGTACACACACAGAGAAAGGAGAGAGCTACAGCTTGGGAAGTAACAATGCTTACAGAAGCCCAGCTCATCTGATGGTGAAAAGGAGCCCTTTTTCCATGCTAATTTCTCTCTGAAGTAACTTCTCTTTCTCTCCTAAGTATAAAACTAACTTAATCTGCATAAATACACAGTAATTCCCACACTTTTAAGCATGTATCTCTGCTGCACTTAGAGCCAGCCAGCAAACTTCAAAATACAGCTCCCACCTCAGGCATGCTGAATTCAACACACCTGGGAACACCAGGCAGGTTGCGGGTACCCAACCTCAGGCAGTTGGACAAAGCAATTCCAGACAAATTGCTCTAGAGGTCCAGTATGGACATGTCCTCTATGGAAACAGAAGCCACCATGGATGGTCCAACCAAAAACTGTCCCCTTGCTGTAACATGGATTCCTCCAGGACCATGTGCTCCCATGCGCCATAGAAAGATTGAGAGAAGCAAGATCACTGCAATGAAGTTCCACTGTCTGAGAATTCCCAGTCTCAATAAATACTGAAGAAAGGGATATTTAGACAGGTTTCAAATTC